GAGCTCCCCTATGGTAAAATGTTGTTGTTGTTATGTGCCGTCGAGTCAAACCCGACTCATAGCGACCCCTCCTTGGGTTTCTGAGGCAGTATCATTACAGAAGTAGGATTGCCCAACCTTCCTTCCGAGGAGTGGCTGGTAGGTTTGAACCGCCAGCCGTCTGGTTAGCAGACAAGTGTCTTAGCCACTATGCTACCAGAGCTCCTATGGTAAAATAGGAGACTCTAATTTTACATAACCTAAAGCTACTCCCACCAGCCACTCCTCGGGAGGAAGATGGGGCAATCTACTTCCGTAATGATAATGCCTCGGAAACCCAAGGAGGGGTCGCTATGAGTCGGGTCCGACTCAATGGCAAATAACAACAACAACAACAAAGCTACTTCTGTAGTGATACCACCTGGGGAACCCAAGGAGGGGGTCACTATGAGTTGGGTCCAACTCAACAGCACATAACAGCAACAACAAAGCCTTAAACTATAGAACTGCACAAGGGGGGGAGAAGGAATATGATACTGTGTTAATTTTTGCTGTTCCTGCTCTGTAAAATGTGGTCAAATGACTATGCATTTAACAGGAGTTCTTTTGATGAGAGCTCTGACTTATTGCTAAATCTTTCCTCTGAGATTTTATTTAACTATCACTTAAGAGACAAATTCACCCAAATGGAAAACCATTGTGATTTCAAAAATTTATAGCAGCTCTTTGCTTTACTACAGAGGAGCTTGTTTTGTCAGTCCCTACTATCTCCGCTAAACAGAAGGAAGTAAGAGCACCCAGACTTCTCAGCTTTCATAGTGAAAGCCTTGGGGCCTTTTGTTTTTCTGTCAAAAAGCTGATTGTCCTCTATTGTTCCTTAATTCTCAGCCACTTGGGAGTGTTTCCTTATAAGGCCACCATTAGGAACCTTCTGAAAGGAGCTCTTAGTTGAGAAAGAAGAGAATTCCCAAATGCATTGTCATCTCTAAATTCTCTAGAATAACATTTTTTTAGGTCATCTTGGAATTGACTTTCTTTTTGCTCCTAAGCATTTGTCTTATTTTCTACATCGTATCTTTTTCTTCCCCTTCCCTATGAAGTTGACTTGTGTCTTGCCTTGGGGAGAGAAAAAATGTTTTTGAATGAGTAGGGAAAAACGGTTTTCAGTTTTGTTTTTTTGCACAGCAAACAGGAGAACCCACTGAAGCCCCCTCTTGTCACAGCAGCTGGGTCTGTCGGTCGTTGTGACAGTCTGCATCCTTTTTTGTCCTGCCAAATATGGATTATTTATTCTATTCTGAGAAGCACTGCCATTAGTATTTTCACATTTCAGTCTTTCAACTTGGTACTTTTGTGTGCTGCTGCTGGGGAGGAAGTAAAGCCATAGCTTTGCTATAGTTTCTAAAATTAGTTTGAATGGTTTGGTTTTAGCCTGGAGGAGAAACTGAGCTACATATGGGTCATTTCTTTTGCTTGACAGCAGTGGCTTTACCCTGCCATGACAGGTTGTCATTATGAGAAAGCTTTCATTAAGTTCTACATTTATATCTTCTCAGTAAACTGTTTCTCTGGTTTAGGTAAATGTTAAATAGAAAAGAGACATGGAACTGGCTAATAAAACATGTTGGAAAGCCATCAGCTCAGTCAAAGAAAAGCAAAATAAAGCAACAGTCAGACCATTTTTCATGTATAGAATTAGCAAAGATTTTTTTTTTCTTTTTTTAAAATATTTTTTCATGATGGTTTCCACATCTGGTGAGGGTTCTATTCATGTATATATAGAAGAAAAAATTAATATAAACTTTTTGAGAAATAATTTAATGATATTTATATCCAGAAAACCAAACCCACCACTATCGAGCCAACTCTGACTCATAGTGACCCCCATTGGATTTCCAAGGCAGTAAATTTTTACAGAAGTAGATTGATTGCCCCATCTTCCTTCCGCGGAGCAGCTGGTGGGTTTGAACTGCAATCGAATGCCTTAGGCACTGTGCCACCAGAATTCTGTGGATCTTAAAAATGTTCATGCTGTTTGACCCAGTAATCTCACTTTTGAAAGACTCTGCAAAGGAAATATATAAACAATGTACAGAGATGTTTACAGTATTTTTTTTTTTTTTAAATAAAAGGGTAAAATCTAAGATTCAGTAGGGGAATGATTTCATGAACTATGACATATACATTTATGAGCTATTATATTTCCATTGCAAATGGAAATAGAGAAACATTATAATAACATCAGGAAATGCAATGATATAATAGGCAGAAGTACGCTATTCTGCCATTGAATTTTACAATGGCATAATTGTGTAAAACTAGCAGGCTGGCAGAAAGGAAAAATAAAAAGACTGGAAGGAGAAAAATATGCCAAATATTAAGTTCCTCCCCCTCCCTATGTTTTCCCAGTTTTCTATAAGAAGCATAGATTGTTCCCCATGGGTTTTTCTTTTATTTGTAAAATGGATTCAATTTTTAAGGATTCTTAAGGATTAAATTTTTAACTTGTGACAGTGATTTGCTTTTCTCTCTGGGTATTAGTCAATGCCTTTTGTGAGAAGTTAGAAGATGATTTCTTTCAAAACACTTTGGAAAAAAAGCTTGTCTTTTGTATGTTTCCTAAAGTTATAGATGTTGGAAATTTTAGAACCATGTAAGTGGTTAAATTGTCTTTCAGTCTTGGATAAATGGCATAAAATGTAACAATATGTTAATGATTTCTCTTTAGGAATTTTTCAAATAGAAACTAATTGCAGAGTTTCCAGTTGACCAGCATTCATAGGGTAAGACTAACATTCTGAATTGTAAGCATATGGTAAAAATAATTACGATAAAGTTGGTAGCTTGGGGCAAATAAGTACTGAATACTTAGTATGTGAAAAGAGATTTCTGTTCTTACAGACCTTTTGAATAAAGTCCCTTGGATGTTTTTAAACTAGTATATAAACAGAAAATTAAATCTGTATACAATTTTGGTAAAATGTCATCTTATGTTTATTATTTGTCGCTTATTTAACATTAAAGTTCTAAGGAATGTATCTATGAGTGACTTAGATGTCATGTCAGTATTTTTCCTGATTTTTGTTTGAGACAGCATTTGTATGACTAGAATCAATTGGCCACATTTCCATAAGTAACTCATGGCCGTGTTGTTGTTGTTGTTATGTGCCCTCGAGTCAGCCCTGACTCATAGCGACCCCTCCTTGGGTTTCCGAGGCAGTATCACTACGGAAGTAGGATTGCCCAACCTTCCTTCCGAGGAGTGGCTGATGGGTTTGAACCGCCAGCCATCTGGTGAGCAGTCAAGTGCCTTAGCCACTATGCTACCAGAGCTCCCACTCATGGCCATACTCTCCTTAAATAGGCGAGTCAGAAACTAGCAAACCCTATGTTCTGCTGCTACCTGCAAATCATTCTTTTTTCATAATTGTAGAAGATTAATCTTAAATTAGATGTGGGTAAGCTTTTGACTTTGACATGAGTAATGAATTTGTACACTATATGAAAGAGCATGGTTCTTGTCTTGTGAATATAGGATGTGTCTTAAATATGTGTCTCTCCCAGCTCTGAACAGAGTCCAGGGGGAGCAGGGATGAGGACAATGGGTCTGTAACTTACAGCATTCTGAACACCTTTCTTTTTATAGAGGATCAAGATCTTTTGATTTCATGGGTGTACCCACATTCCCCTGCTGATTCACCGAGTTGACTGTAAACATTGATAAGCTGTCATTAGATCTTGGCACTCCTCTACTTAGACCCTTCAGTGGTTATCCATCACTCAAACACTATTATCCAAACTCTTTGCCTAGGCTGCAGGCCCTCTGTCACTCTCTTACCTCAAACCAAACGAAATACACTGCCATCAAGTTGGTTCTGTCTCACAGTGACCCCATTAGATTTCCAAGGCTATTAATCTTTACAGAAGCAGACTGCCTTATCTTTCTTCTGTGGAGCACCTGGTGAATTTGAACCACTGACCTTTCAGTTATCAGCCAAATGCCTTAACCACTACACCACCAGAGCTCCTTCCTACTGTCCCTGTTGTTGTTGTTGTTATGTGCCGTCGAGTCGGCCCCGACTCATAGCGACCCCTCCTTGGGTTTCCGAGGCAGTATCACTACGGAAGTAGGATTGCCCAACCTTCCTTCCGAGGAGTGGCTGGTGGGTTTGAACCGCCAGCCTTCTGGTTAGCAGTCAAGTGCTTTAGCACTATGCTACCAGAGCTCCTACTGTCCCTAGGCTTATGAAATTCCAGCCAGAGTGGCCTCTTTTCTGATCATCACCCCCGCTGAGCCCTTTCTGCCTGGAATGACCTTTCTGAACATCTTTACATGTCTGGTCCCATTTAGATCTCCATTCTAATGGTATTGTCTCAAGAGATCCCTGACTGCCCAATCTAAAGTAGCTTTATATTATTCATTTCTGATCTTATTATGTCTTTTCCCACCCGACAGAATAAGATCCATGAGAGCAGCGATTTGGCTATCATGTACACATATTACCTGTTCTGGTTACTTAGTGCTTCTCTGACAAGAATAAAACACAAATGGAATGGCCTTAACAAACAGGAGTTTATTCTCTCACAATTTGGAGGCTTTAAGTCCAAGTTCAGAGTGCCAGGCTATAGGAGCTATGTGAAAGCCCCTCAACCTTGGGCTTCAGCTCTGCCTCTTGCTCCCAGCCCACTGAAGCTAGAGGCATCTCGTCACTCAGACATATTATGGCTGCTGAGGCTAACAAGCCCAAGGTCAACAAATAAAATGGCACAGTCCCGATTTTACCAAACCACATGGCAGACTATTAATTCAAGTCCATTGTAAGTCCCAGGGTCGGCAGAGCATGGCAGACTGCTGAACAACAACACGGCTATGTGCAGGGCCCAATCATGCCATAAGCTAGAGATGATTCCCCAAAGCTTCTACTTATATACAGGAAGCAGACAACATTCCCTAAGGCAGCTACCCAGCTGCTCACAGTAGATTCCACCACGGAGCTGATTACCAGTCTCATCATGGGGAATACTACATCCAGCTGCCCAGCCAAGTTGACACACAAACTGAACTACCACATTACCCTAACACTTAGAACTCCATCTAATGCATAGTACCAAAATCCAAACCCACTGCCATCAAGTTGATTCCAACCATAGTGACCCTGTAGGACAAAGAACTAGCCCATTGAATTTCCAAGGCTGTAATCTTTACAGAAGCAAACTGCCACATCTTTCTCCTGTAAAGCAGCTGATGAGTTCAAACACCAACCTTTCTTTTGTCAGCTGAGAGTCTTAATCACTGCATCACCAGGGCTCCTTCACACATAGTGGTGGTGGTGGTGGTGGTGGTGGTGGTAGGTGCTGTCAAGTTGCTTCTGACTCATAGCAACCCTGTACAACAGGAAGAAATGCTGCCCAATCCTGCACCATCCTCACAACCCTTGCTATGGTTGAGCCTATCGTTAGCAGCCACTGTGTCAATCCATCTCGTGGATTGACAAAGGTCTTCCCCTTTGTCTCTGACCCTCCACTTTACCAAGCATGATATCCTTTTCCAGGGACTGGTCCCTTCTGACAACATGACCAAAGTAGGTGACATGAAGGCTGGCCATTTTCACTTCTAAGGAACATTCCAGCCGTACTTCTTCCAGGACAAATGTGTTTGCTCTTCTGGCAATTCATGGTATTTTCTGTATTCTTTGCCAGCACCAAAATTCAAAGGCATCAATTCTTCATTGGTGTTCCTTATTCATTCTCCAGCTTTCACATGCATACAAGGCAACTGGAAATACCATGGCTGAGGTTAGGCTCACCTTAGTCTTTAAAGTGACATCTTTGCTCTTCAATGCTTTATAGAGGTCTTTTGCAGCAGATTTGCCTAGTGCAATGTGACATCTGATTTCTTGACTGCTGCTTCCATGAGTGTTTATTGTGGATCCAAGTAAAATGAAATCTTTGACAACTTCTATCTTTTCTCCATTTATCATGATGTTGCTTATTGGTCCAGTTGTGAAGATTTTTATTTTCTTTATATTGAGGTATAATCCATACTGAAGACTAGTGTTTGATCTTCATCAGTAAGTGCTTTGAGTCTTCTTTACTTTCAGCAAGGAAAGTTGTATCATCTTCATATCTCAGGTTGTTAATGGGTCTTCATCCAATCCTGATGCTGTGTTGTTTTTCATATAGTCCAGCTTCTCATATTATTTGCTCAGCATACAGATTGAATAAGTGTGGTGAAAGGATACAACCCTGATGCACACCCTTCCTGATTTAAAACCATGCTGTATCCCCTTGCTCTGTTCAAATAATTGCCTCTTGGTCTATGTACAGGTTCCTCACAAGTACAATTAAGTTCTGGAATTCCCATTCTTCACAATGTTATGCATAATTTCTTATGCTCCATAGAGTTGAATGCCTTTGTATAGTCAATAAAACACAGGTAAACATCTTTCCAGTGTGCTTTGCTTTCAGCCAAGGTTTATCTGACATCAGCAATGATATTCCTCATTCCATGCCCTCTTCTGAATCTGGCTTGAACTTCTGGAAGTTCCCATCATTATACTGCTGCAGTAGATTTTGAATTATCTTCAGCAAAATTTTACTTATGTGTGATATTTATGATAATATTGAATAATTGCCCCCATTCTGTTAGATAACCTTTCTTTGGAATGGGCACAAATACATATCTCTTCCAGTCAGGTGGCCAGCTAGCTGTCTTTCACATTTTCTGGAATAAATAAGTAAGGGCCTTCAGCACTGCATCCATTTGTTGAAACATCTCAATGGGTATTCCATCAGTTCCTGAAGCCTTGTTTTTTGCCAGTTCCTTCCGTGCAGCTTCGACTTCTTCCTTCAGTACCACTCGTTCATGATCATATGCTACCTCCTGAAATGGCTCAACATCAACCAATTCTTTTTGGTACAGTCAGTAACTATGTATATTTCTTCCATCTTCTTTTGATGCTTCCTGCATCATTCAATATTTTCCCATAGAATCCTTCAGTATTACAATTAAATGCTTGAATTTTTTCTTCAGTTCTTTCAGCTTGAGAAATGCCAAGCATGTTCTTCCCTTTTGGTTTTCTAATTCCAAGTCTTTGCACATTTAATTATAATGCTTTACTTTTTGTCTTCCTGAGTTGCCCTTTGAAACATTTTAGTTCTGCTTTTTCATTTCATCATTTCTTCCTTTTGCTTTAGCTACTCTTTGTTCAAGATAATAGGCATTCTAAATACTTGTTGCATGAAGAACTAAAATCCTGTTCTCTCTGACAAATACTACTGTTCAGCAATGTTCTCACCAATTCTCTGGGCATTTTGTTTATTTAGAACCAAATCATTTTGACATTGAAATGAAAATATAATGTAGTGATACCAACTTTCAAATAGACATTTTCTTTTCATAGTAGGATTGTAAATCCCTTGAGAGCAGTGACAGGGCCTTGTATTTCTCTGGTATGCCTTTATAGTGCCTAGCCTTACATCGTGCTAGGCATGCTCCATGATTAAATGAATATGAATGTTAATTTTAGAGAAGGGATTAATCTATTTTTAAATATATCTAGATTATACTGGTTTGTCTGTCCCAGAGCTAAATCTCTCTCATTTTGATCTGTGTGTGTGTGTATATATATATATATGTATATATATGTTATTAGATGCCATTGAGTCAATTCCAACTCATAGCAACCCTATATGACAGAATAGAACTGCCACATAGGGTTTCCTAGGCTGTAATCTTTACAGTAGCAGATCACCAGGTCTTTTCTCCCATGGAGTCGCTGGA